CAGTTCACAGCAGTGACATTATGCTCAGCCCAAAACATTCCCATGTGGAAGACACCCAGGAGGTGCCTGATGTTTTCGGAGGTGATCCTGTCTGTATCTGCATTAGAACTTGTGCAGTGGTGAACGTGGCTTTGCTGTAGGGTTCTACCTCCTTTGCCTCTGCACTGCTTCTGGCAGCAGGGTTTGCATCCTACCTTGCATTTCCTTATATTAAATCCATCCTTCAGCGTCTCAAGACATGGATGTGTTTTCCTGCCTATGGCAAGCCCCTGGCTGTATCCTTCTCCTGTTACTGAGGCCCCCCCCATCCCCTCTCTTGTTAGAGGTCAATCTGAAGTGCAGGAAAGAATGATTATGATAACAGGAGGAAACAGGAAGAATCATGCTTTCTTTTTCAATCTGTTTTTTATTATTGTTTTAATGTAAAACATTGTTTCAATTAAATGCTGACCTGTGCGGTGGCGTGTGCGTGCACATGCTGAAATGAATTCCGGCTTTGTTTGGAAAGCTGTGACCTCTTTATTCCTGTTCTGGATCAAGGCTGTTGCCTTTCAAACCCACTGCTGAGGACTGAAATTTCACTCGTACTCCTCGTAGCTCTGGCAGTAACAAACCTTAGGAGCAGTGGTCTCCTTGGGCATTTTTATTTGCTGATCTTTCTCAGTTTTTAAAATAAGCATGCTTGGTTTATTTATTATAGACTTATATATATGACATATATAGACTTATTTATGTCAGGGTAAAAAAAAACCAAAAAACTGTTGCATTTAAAATGCATCAAATGAATGCTGGGGTACACTGGCACTTGGTGGAGTGTCCATACTTGGTATAAAAATGAGCAGATATTTTTATCATTTACTTGCTTTCTCTATGCTTTAATTTCATGTGATGTTATTTACTTGCAGTTTTTTAAACTGGGAATCCCATGTGAATTGACTGCCCTGAAAGAAAATACAAGACTGGACCCCAATGCCCACTCCCACCCCACAAAATCTTTGCTGCAATGTCACTGGAATAATATGTTGAGTTTGTTATTTGTTTGGGTATAAATTTTAAATCTGGGGGGTTGAATTTATCTTGTCTCATTTAAGTTTTTTGTTGTGGTTTGTTTTGGTTTTTTTGCTTAAAATGAACTTCTTCAGAGGAAGGAAGGAGTGGGCAAGGAATAACATGAAATCTGCCTGAGTTGTTAAAATGAGTCAGTTACATTTTATACTTGTCCTCTGGTGACCAGATTTTCATTTTTCTCCTTGGCCTCATGGAATGTTTTTGTTTATATATCTTATTAGTTTTGGATGTTCTGTGGAAAGGGAAACCTGAATTACAAACTTTTTTTCTTTCTGCTATTGTATTAAGAGCCTGGGTATTGGATGCAGGTGCTCCGACTGTGCCGTAATTGGCACTTTATGGAGAGACAGCAGCTGTACTGCTTCACAGGGGACATATTATATCTCTTCACATGTTGTATATATCGTAGGAAATGCAGAATTCCTGTCATTGTCAGAAACTTTGCATGTCTGCATCTACCAGAGCCTCTGCAGAAAAAAAAAAAGACAACAATCTGCTGAAAGTTAAAACCATGTCTATTTTCAGAAAAGGCTTTTATCCCTTTTATTGTCCTTTAATGTAGCACTAATTAATGTTTTGTTTGGTTAAATATAGAAGAGACTTAACTAATGTTTGTCTTTTTATGGTTATGCAAGGTGAGCTGGTGTGGTATGAACTGCCTCATTTGTTTTGGAACACATGGCAACAGATACCGCTTATCTGGATGTGCGTATACCTGTACTTAAAATTATACTCATCACATAATAATATACCAAAAAAAAAAAAAACCTTTAACATTTTCAGTCACAGGACAAGGTTGGAAGCAGAAACAATAAAACTCTATATTATATTAGGCCTTAAAAGGGATAATTATACAGGGGAAACCATCCTGCTTTTGGGTACATTGGGGGCTGCAGTTGCTCTCTGGGGAATGCCTGGGAGCTGCCAACAGTACCTCTCTGTCCTGCCTGAGGAGTATTGATGTGTGAGTGGGTGGGACTTGTGTGGCTTTTGAGGGATTGATTTATAGAAGGAGACTAGGAATTCATATCAAGATTTACAGATACCGCATGTGAGTGATTTGTCCGAACAAAAGAGTGGGTAAAAGCTCTGCCTGCATTTTAATAGTGTAATTGCTGAAGGGAACAAAGAACTGTTGAGTGTCACAGGGAATGTTTGTTTCATATCAAGAAAAACACAGGTGTCTGGCATCTTGCTACATGGCAAAACAGGGTTCCAATGGAAGTTATAACAATCTCATCAGGTTTTTTTAAAAAGTTTTGAAGGTACTGTCCTGATAATAAGAGAAGTGGGCAAGGTTGTGGATTTCTTGTGAGCTAATTTAACATGTCCTTGAATGTTCATTGTCCTTCCTCTGTGGTTTAGAAATGTGTGCAGATCAATGTATGAACACTTGGAGAGTTTGCCCTGTAAGCTTCATCTCTGGGAAAACTGCAACGAGGCTGTTTAGTTCTGTCTTTTGGAACAGATATAGCTTATGTTCTATCTGTGGTTGTTAAATCCCCTTTCTTGTCCTCCCTCATCAGAAGTGTTTTGCCTGTTCTTTGGCGTGGTTCAGGCCCAGCACTGAGACGCTCTTTTGAACATCATTTCCTTTCCAGTGCTGCAGTATGTCTGTGTGTGGTACACTCTGCCTGTGAGAACCAGGAGGAAGCCTACCTATTCCCATGTTTTTTTTGTCCCGCTAGGTTTGTACGCCCTGCGGAGAGTGCTGGGGAAGAGGCCCGGCCTGTGGGACACTGCGGCGGCTGGGTCAGTGATGATTGCTTTCAATGACTTCCTGCAGGGGATGAATGATGTCAGGCCCAGCGCCATGAGGGAGGTGGCAATTGACGTGCCAAAAGTAAGTTGTTTTGTGCAATGCTGTGGCAGCATTGTCAGGGCCACGTAAAGAGAGGATTTTTATGGAGTGGAAGCCTTAATTTAATGGTTAATGTTGTGCCATCATCCTTCTGTTTGCCTGTTTGTTTATTGGTAACTTTGGAGAACTGTTTGCAGAATGGTCTCCATCAGGAAGAGTTTGGAGATCAGGATCATATCTCCTGATCTATAGATTTTATGTTGGGTGGGTTAATGGGGTGAAAATTTTCAGATGCATGTTCAAGGATGGTCTGGAGCAGCTGTGAAAGCTGGAGCCTTTTGGGAAGCAGACACAAACTAAAGCAGAAACCAGCTGTTAGCAGTTGTAACCAAAGTGTGTTGAAACAAAGCTGTGAAGAGTTTGGTTGCTCTGATTTCTATGTAAATGTGGCCTGAATGTCTTCAAGTGGCATTATATGGTTTTAAGTGAAGGCAGAATTCAATGCTGTAGGCTGATTATCACTGCCAAACAGTCACCTGTCAGATGACTGTCATAATATGAACAGTTCATTTGGCTGTGCCAGGTTCATCTTCACCCTGCTCACTGCCCTCTTAATTACATATTATAATAGTTCAGACTATTATTAATAGCAGACCCAACATAAATTGTGCTGGGGAACTGATCTGATTTAAGGCAGCTCTTGATCTACGTTAAGAAGATTGAGCAAAAGAATTTTGTGTTTAATCTGACTAAATCCTGATTCTGTGAGCAGTTGTGCTGGTGTTTCTCAGCAGCTCCCCAAGCCCTAGAAGAAAACATTTATGTTTCATTGCATGAAAATGAGTCATTTGGGAATTGGATTGCGCAACTGTAGAGCCTTATTCCCAAACTTATAGGAATGGGAAATAAAATCCGTGAACCTGATGCTGCACACAGCCAGCTCGGATGTCACACTTGGCTTGCTAAGAGTCCATGCTGTGCAGGGTGGAATTGCCTGGGCTGGCCCCAGACAGCTTTTCCTGGAAATGGTGTCATGGCACCAATATCCTCAAGGCTAAGTGGTTCTGCTGAGAGCCAGAGTTACTGATTCTTGCCTTGCTCGTTGTGCTGCTGGCACGTGGGCTCAGGTTGTCATCCCTGTGCTGTGCCTCTCAGGCACTCCAGCCCCTTTGGAGCCAGGTGGAATGCTGCCCAACAGCACAACACAGGCAGGTAGAAGCAAGGTCTTGAGGTACAGCAGGGAATCTCTTCTCAGTCCAGGATAACCTGTTCCTCAGGCTTCTCTTGTCCACTAAACCATCCTGCCAGTGGCTTTCTTGATTGTCACTTGATTTTATTTGTTAAACACCCACTGAATTACTGGAGTACTACTGGAATTCATTCATTTATTAACATAGTGGAGATTGGTTTTGTGGTGACGGAGACTGCATTTCCACAAAGTAATGTGTATTCTCTGAAGATGTAAGGTAAATGTCAAGCCATCTGCTTGCTGCCTGGGGTGAGTTTAAAGTAGAATCTAAAGTACTGGGTGCAATAAATTTTGTGTCCTCCCATATCACCTGCCAAAGGAAGGGAGTTTGGAACTAGATGATCTTTAGCGTCTATTCCATCTCAAAATATTCTGTGAATTCTGCAATCTAAAAAATCTTTGCTAAAAATAACTTCAAACACCAAATAAATTATTAAGACATGAGATTTTTATTTTTTTTTCACAAAGAGAAGACAGGAATTTGAGCCACATTAATAATATCAGCTTTTTAGGTATTTATTGCAGATACAGTACCCACTTGGCATCCCCCTTGATGTGGATGGGACTTTTGGCCTATGTAGCTAATTACAAGAAAAAACATTGATATACATGAGATTTTTTTGATTTTTAGCTTAATTTTTCAGATGGTGGGGCTCTTTCATATTTCATTGCTTTGCAGTAGCTGTGTGCCAATCAAATGGCAAGACTTCAAGGAAACTTCTGAACAAAGCCACAATTCCTTCCTCTTGTGTCTGAATTGTGTTGGCTGTGACCAAGGCAAACGTAAAATCCTTGCTGCCTAGTTCTGTGTGGCATCTTGCCTTCCATTTTACCAGAGCTTTCCTTGAACTTCGCTGTGTGTTACAACCTTTTTAGAAGGCTGCTTTTTCTGCAGCAGGGCTTTAGGAGAGGATGCACATTATAAATCAGGAAGTTAATACTACAGCTCTTTGGAGAGTTGCACTGCAGTTGCTGTTCCTCCCTCTCCTATGGGTCTTTTTGAAATGTTTTTGAGAGAGTGCTGTGGGTTTTGCTTGCCTCTTTCACTCCCTTTACTGTAATTCAACGCTCAGATTTGTGTCTTTGCAGCCAAAAGGTTCTGGACAAGACATCCTTTGCCTGTCTGCTTTATTTCTTTATTACTGGTTCTTAATAACCTCTGGGGAGCTGCTGCTCTGCATCACACTCTTAGCTCTGTTGACCTGGGGAGAGCTAAAGATTGCAGCAGTAATGAAATGTTGGTGTCATACACGCTGTAGCAGAGAGCTGGTTTTGTACGTGTGAGCCCAGCCCCAAGGCTAATCTTTAAAGCCATTTCCACAGTGACAGAACATCACACCTCATTGCTGGTGTTGCAAGACCTCTCCTTTGAGTTCCTGTGCAGGTGAGAGCAGTGTAACTATGGCTGGTGGACTCGACCCCAGCCTCTCTCTCCACTCCCCCCCTCCTTATCTCTGTCCTTTTGAAACGAGAACAAATTTGTTCTGTTTAGAATTCACGTGTGAGTTGTGAAGGTAGTGGTTTACTAGCTATTTTTACTTTTAATACTCTTGCCACACCAATTCCACACCTTGAACTGTCGGAATTTAAAATGTAACCGAAGTCAGAATGGGTTTCCAGATTGCTGAAAACAGCCTTCATGTAAGGTGGCCTTACTTCACCTTTTCTGTACAATTCTGTCACTTGTGCTGGTGTTAAATGACATGTAATGGCTCTGAAAAATCACTTGAATGATGCCTGAATGATATTCAGTAGACTGAATATTTGCAGAGGGTAAATGACTGAATATTTAAGAGGATAAAAATAGCATTTAAGTGTTTTCTCCCTGGCTTTTTATGTGTAAGTAAAGTACTGCTAATAGAGCTTGCCTTCTGTTGCTGAAACTTCTAGGGAATTCATGATGCCCTGATTAATTTCAAGATGGTCATGTTTGTCAAAGTCTTTGTCTAGATAGAAAGACATGATGATAGGAATGACTAGTCCGTGCTTTGCCAGGTATGAGTAAGGACTGACACTGAAAAAAAGGAGAACAAGCTTATGTTGTCTTCTTCCCTCAGAAGAAGTTGTCTAAGAGTATCAAGATTTAGTTCTGTGCAGTTAAAAAAGCTCCTACACAGAATCAAGGGATGTAGGGGAAGGTAATAGATATTTTTAAATGAAATTTAAATCAAACTAGTTCATATATGACTCAGAAACACAAACTTTTGTTGTGTTTGCTCTCTGCTCTCTTTGTAATCTTCTATGTCAAGGTCTGACAATCTAAGAGAAATTTTATTTGATTTGAAATTTGCTTGGTCTTAAACAAAAGTGCTTGCACCATCCAAATGCTCTTTTTCATCCACTTCAATAGCAGACTGGATTACATTTTTCAGGGACTGTCTACTTCTACTTTCCACTCCTTGTCCTGGCATCAGGAGAAAATAAGGACAAACCTTATTTATAAAAGGGTGAGACCAGATTTCAGCTCAGGGGAAAGGCAATACCTTACCTCTCAGCAACACTTTGCTTGCTTTTCACATGTAACTCATTTTCCAGAGACAAAGGATGATTTATGTGGAGCAAGTGTCTGGAAGAGTGTTTTAAGGCAGATCATTTGATTTAGGTGTGCCTTGACATGTTTAATACTTGAAGTGAATGGGAGTGGATGGTGACCAGAGGAAGAGCAAGCTGGGAGGATGTGGAGAAAAGTCTCAGGCTTGTTGACAGCCATGTAGGAAGAGGTGTGGCAGGTTTTAGATCTGCCTGCTTTTTTGGGTAGGACGTATCATGTGCCTTTATGTATTCCTGACAAGCCTGTCTTGTGCTTCTTGTTTAATAAAGACTTTTTGAAGATGTAACTCATGAAAAAAAACTTCATTAAAGAACTAGTACACATTCTACATAGCATTTTTTGATTTGTTTACTTTTTAATTGTTCTGTTCCATTGTCTGAATTCAGCAAAAATGCTCTGTTCTGCAGGTATCTTGGTCAGACATAGGGGGACTAGAAGATGTCAAGCTGAAGTTGAAACAGGCAGTTGAATGGCCTCTCAAACATCCAGAGTCCTTCATCCGAATGGGGATCCAGCCTCCCAAAGGTGTCCTGCTTTATGGACCTCCTGGGTGCTCAAAAACCATGATAGCAAAAGCTTTGGCTCATGAAAGTGGCCTCAACTTCTTGGCAGTGAAGGTAGGCCATTCAGACTCACGTTTTCTTAACTCCTGCATAACAACGGATGGTTTACCAATTTCCAGAGTTAAAATCCAGTGGCTCTCAGTGTTTCTGATCCCTATACATGCTCCAACAAACACCTTGTAAATATCAAGTAAGTTTGTGTTTTCTTGTATGCTGTTAAAAGAATTGTTATTTATTTTATCACAGCACAGATGTTGGATGGACAGGTAAGCTGTGGAGTGACATCTTAAGTATTGGCAATGTTTAAAGTCTTTCTAAAAGACTTTACACTTTAAATACTGGTAACAGTATTTATACTGCAATTAAAGCAATGTAAGTGAGAAGTGACTCTGGATAGTGGATAGTAGTAATTACTCGCGTGCATGGAAATATTGTCATCTAATCCCTTACATTCCTTTTCATTCCTCAGGACAGTCACTTTCTTTATCTCACTGTTCATGTTTCATTACAGATTTTTCTTATTCTATTTGCCTTCTTTTCTGGGAAAATAGTTCTACTTCCTCAGTTTTCAGAGAGCTTGCAAAATCAGTTGTATCTTGAATGCTCTTGGATAAATGGGATATTCTCTCAGCGTTAAGAAACACTTGGTGTAGAAAAATTTTGGATTTTGTTGCCTATGAATCAGTGTAATCGATCACTGTGGGTTGTATGGAAAACACATGAATGGAAGTTATTTAATAATACTGAGCTTCACTGCATAGGAAAGAAAAAAAAAAGATAGTAGAGTGATTCCACATGGGGTAGTCTTGCAGCTGTGTCAGAATGTTAATGAAGTGCAAGAAAAAACATTTGTTTAAGTATTTTGAAAGTGTCTCCTCCTCAGCAGTAAGATCACGTCCCCTTCTCTGTCGACCATCTCTTTACTCACAAAGCCTCCTGTGTTGGTTTCTGCACAGCTTCCTCCTCCTCCCATCCTTTCAGGCACGCTGTAGCTGTGGATCCTCTCTGGGAGCAGAGAGTTGTGTTGACCCTGGAGCCAGCAGCCCTTCACTGCCCGGGTTCCCTGGGATTGAAGGGAGCCCTCTGGGTCACGGTCACATCGACAAGGGCAGCCTTGGAAACCTCAGCCCTTAAGAAACACTACCTTTACTGCCTCTTCCATAAAGACAAAGTAGTTCTTTGTGCTCCAGAGTTAGTGGTAAACAAGGTAACCTTTTCCTCTGCCTCAGCTTAAAAGAAAACATTCCTCTTTGTCTCACCCTAAGCACTGGTGCCTGGGAGGGTGGGGAAAAAGGGTGGCAGTCTGGAAAAAAAAAAGCCAGTTAAAAATGGATGGTGTTGCTGTCTTATATCCCTCAATCATGGCACCATCAGACATTTTTACTGATGCAGTTAATATCCAGAAATGAAGGGTGGCTCATGCTGACCGCGAAGTATCCGAGGGTGCAGTGGTGGGAAGTGCTGGTGTACAGTAAATGCAGCATTTTTCTGTGGTGGAGTTCTGCACGTGCAACATCCCCCATCATTGACAAGCTGCAGCAAAAGTGTCTGGTTCTTGGAAACTGCCTGTGATTCCCTGTTGGTTTAAATCCCCTGGCCTGGAACTGGTCAAATATTCAATGTACAGATGTTTTGAGAAGCACATCTCTGGAGCATGTCCAATCCTGGACATGTTGACTCCAGGAAGGGAACATAGCCCATTTCTCTAACTTCACATTTGTTTCCTGGACAGAAAAAGGCAACATTTGTCATGTACTAAATGTGTTAAACATCGTCTGTAGCACTTTTTCAAGCACAACAGGCATGAATTAATTTCCACTGTAAATGTTCCTGCAGTAAATCCAAAGTAGATGAATATGTGGGGTTTTGGTTTGTTTTGTTGGGTTTTTTTGAGAGGGGATTTTTCTTTTCTTGCTTACAGCCCTATTAATTTTCCCATTTGCTACATTATGTCTTGGATGTCCGTGCCTAGAACTGACATCAGGCATTCTGAAATGAAAGTGTGATCCTTGATGATTTACTTTTCAGACTTTAATTTTCCTTCCAGTCTCTCTCACGTAAGTAATTCTGATGAAAAGTGTCGGCTGTCCAGCTTGTAGGATACTCTCCTGGGATAGTGGAGAGGGCAGAGGTTCTTAGGCCCTTCTGGTGCAGGGGCTGCAGGCAGGAGGCACAGCTCTAGCTGTGGGAGCCTGCTCTGGATGCTGCCTCTCCCTTTGTCTGTGAAGCCTGAGAGAAAAATCAATGCTGTTACATGCAGTGCTTGCTCGGTCCAGTGATTTTTTGGAAGGCTGGACCTATTGTGTCTGCACGCTGCATTTAAGATCCATGAGGACAGTAAGTCTCAGCTCCCACCAGTGCTGGATGTACTGTCCTTGTCTGAGCTGGCTGTCCTGCCTCAGTGCAGCAGGTATCGCCCCTGACCCAGCTTGCCTCTAGGAAGGCTTTGTTTGCCACATGTGTCTGTGCAGTTTGGACAGCTGACTCTGTTCAGTCAGACATTTCAGCTGGGTTATGAGCAAACTGTTCAAATGTGACCTTTCCATCAGTCTTGGGCATGGGGAGCTGTCACAAGGCAGCCTCTGGCCCATGTCTGACTGGCCTCTCGTGAGGTTTGGGAGATGGGCTGAGTCTCGATGTCATTTCTGGGCAGAGGAGCTGAAGAAAATAACGTGATAACAGATGTTTGACGTTGCATCCTGTTCTCTCCTGAAATCTATTGTGAGGTTTGAATGGTTAGTGTTACAATGAATGTGGCCCTTTTGTAAACATGCTCTTTGATACTTGGCCAAAAACTTTATATAGCTGTATTTTCACCGAGATTGGTGACCTTTTGCTTTTCCAGAGCAAAGCAGCTTGTTGGTTGGTTTGTTTTACAAAGCAATCTTGCATATAATTCCTAGGGGGAATAGTTTATTTTTGTTCCTTCTCTTGACTTTCTTTGTCTCTAATACAATGTATCTGCTAAATTTACTGGGGAGGAGGTTGTCAACTACTTTCCAGAGGATGTCTCTTCCTGCTTGTTCCCGCCAACTCCTTTTTCTAAATCTCTTGTAGCATTGAGGCTTTTCAGGGTTTTAGTGGTCATCTGGATTATTCTCCCTCCAAATCTCTGTTACTGAAAGGCAACTGAATTGTTCTCAGCTGCTTGGAGATTTTTCAGTGTTTTGCAGTCATGGATACAAGCGAGTCTAAGACTGCATGAAGGAATGGATTAGGGTAATTTTTTTTCATTCTTCACTATTGAACATCAGTCTTGACTTATCAGTAGCTTTTGATCTGATTCACTGCTTATTTCAGTCAACCTTCTCTGCACTTTTGTCCTTCACAATCCTCTTGTGTTTGTCCCGGAGTTTATAATTTTCTTCTTAAATGTGTTTTATGCATTTTTTGTGCTAGTAAGAAAAACCTCTTGTGTACAGGTATTGGACCTATCCATATGAATATGATGGGGATATAATTTTCACCTTCTTCCAGGCTGATAACACATTGCTGTTGTTTACAACCTGTGTCTCTGACATTTTGATTTAGATGTCATCTAGCTTTCTGAAACTAAACATGAAGGAAATTAAATCCTTTGTCACTGTGTTCCCTCTTTTGGCTATTTATGTGGTAGGTATTTCTGTGGACTGTTTTGACAGTTCCTGCACTTAGCATCTGCTTTGACTAGCTGTTTTTTTGAGCTATATTTTTGTGAGACCAGTAGGATTTTTGTGGTCATGTTAGATTTTTGGAAGAAACTCACCTATCTTGCTGTATGGCATAGAAAATTATCTCTGCATTTGTCTTGCATCTTAGTTTATTTAGATGTGTTATGACTGCACTCTTGGATTTTAAGTTTCTTAGTTTATTTTAAGAAATCCTGTGTCATTGTGTTGTGCTAAGAATCAAATGAGTAGTACTTTTCCTTACAGATTTTCTGTTGCTTTTCTAGAAGCAGTGGCAGAGACTCCATCTAGAATTTTTTTCCCCCCCTCCTATTTATTGCACTATTTAGGCCATTAACTTTACTACCAAATAAGAAAACCATTGAGCTTTTTTTGATTTTAACCTATTTCAAAATGAATATTGGAGTCTGCTCTTAAGGTGTCAGGCTGAGGCACCATCAGGGTACCCATCCAGATAGGCTCTATCACTCAGCTGTGATGGTCTGATCCATTGGGACCTGGAGTTCTGTTTTCCGTCCAGCAAGCGGATTACCTGAGTTTATAAGATATATAGCAAGAAAAACTATGTACCTTCTATATGCTTGTGATGTTTTGAGAAACATATTTTTTCCTCTTGCTGCTTAGTGCTTTTTAACGTTTGTCTGTTTAAAATCAAAAGCAAGGCAAAACCTCACTTAGGGGTAGTGATGAAAACCAGCTTAAATTTTAAAAAGTTAAATACCTTGCAGTTCAGCTAAGTGAGACACATAATTGTTGTAAACAGGATGAAGCAATACTTGGAAAAAAACCTCACCACACAAAACAAAGAAAACCAAACCCACCTGTGACAGTAAGGAATGTTTCAGGATGCCAGCACTGAACAAACCACTGGTACAGATGATGTGAACTATACTGTTTTTAAACTTTAATTTGAAACATTGATTAGGAGATCCAACTACAGCGTGATTTAAAAAAAAAAAAAAATTAAAAAAAATGAAAAAAAAGGAGAAAATATTCCTGACCTTTTATTTGCTGTTACTTAAGGGCTGAGACTGAAGGAATCTTTTCTTTTTTTCAATTACCAGTAATTACAAAAATATACACTGTTCCCAGGGCTTTGACTTCGCCTTGGCTTGGTTTAGCTTCCTCTATCACCCAGCCGATGCTTTTGTACCACTCCCCGTGCTTGACATGTGCTTAAGCTTAGTTTGTCATCTGGGTCAATTATGTCAAAATATTTTCCAATTCAAGTTTCCTCTGCTTTTCCCTTCAGCTCTTGGCTGTGGCAGCTCCAGCAGATTAATGAGGCTTGGAAAGGTTGACTGCTTTGCTTTGTGAAGAACTGTCACTGAGTTTTGGGGGAGATAGCTTAGCTTTTTGATGGGGATTTCAGTGAGCAGAAGCCTG